ACAAAAATGAGACAATGAGAAGTGAAATGATAGGCCTAAATATAGGTATGTTTAGTAACTGAGATGGAAAAAGCATCCAGAAATCCTGTATTTTAATATTAGATCTGGTACCGTGTTATAGACGGATATGGCATGAGAATAATAATTAGGTTCTTTGTGTTATTCATTTCATTGTCTGGTATTCGTGCTGTGGAGTGACTTATGTTCACATCCAATTAAAAGAAATGTTTAAAGAAATTCCAATAGTGCTTTAGAATAATGAAATTACCTTTACAAAGCATTGGCTTTTTGCTGCTTTGTTTTCTTGTGATCCAGAACAGTAGGTGAAGGGGTGAAAACACAGATGTTACATCCTTTTTTTTTTTCACTTGTGCTCTGGAGTTGGTCTGTAACATTGAGTCTTGCATGTGTAAACCATTGCTGTCCCCGAGGTAAAATGTAAAGCTGTATATATAACCTTAATAGGTTCAACTGCACCTTGTTCTTTTGATGATCTGGAATCCATTTTCCAAGCATTTTCTTTTCAGGTAGTTCCATGCATCTGCCTGGCAAACTGCTAAATACTTGTGGAGGTTTGCACAACATGGTTTGAATTACTTAAAATGCTTTCCTTATCGGTTTCTGTTACAACAATTTTAACTATGCTACTGAATTTCTAAGTGATCACTATAAGCGACTAGAGAACAGTTTGTAGAGACACAAGCAAATGTAGATTTTAGCAGGAGAATTGAAATAAATTGAACTTGAAAATATGGACTGAAAAGCTTAGTATATTTACTGTGACAGCATTGTATTGGGCTCTAGGGCAGCCCTTCAGAGGAGGTTTTGGAAGTCAAGTACATAATTTCAAGTAGATTAGAAAGATACACTACAAAATGTGAGCAGAAAGCCTTCCTGTATTTCAACAGTAAGTTCAACGTTGCATGTGTTTGATCAGTGCAAGCAGAATATTTAAAACTGTTACTTAAAACCACTGTGTGTGGTCTGTGTATTTAAGTTACACACAGTTGACCCTACTTCTTTGGTTTGTGCAACAGCAGGAGGAAACAGATGATTTGTTTCAGTCTATGTACATTCCATGTACACAGTCTGGGCTAATGCACATGCTACTGCTATTTTTCTGTGTGGTTTTGCTTTCTTTTTTTCTCTTGCCTGCACTACCCTTCTGATTTTTGTGGTCCATGTTGTTCAGTTAGGAGATTTTCAGAGTCATTAAATAGTCTCCCTTTGATCTCACAGTGTCTTTAATTCGGCTGACACCCCCCAGTAACCCAGCTCAGTTCTGGCAGGCACTGTTGGGATAAACTTTTAAGTGTAATTGAATAACTCTTATGTTCTGAAAACCTTGGGTACATCTCCCTCCACTCTTTCCCTGTTACTGATGAGGACCAATTCTACATGTCAGCTTTTTTAAGGGATATGGTGTAAAAAAAGCAGCAAAGTGAGCACCATAATGACAAACTACAGTCATCCTCTAGTAGAAGTAGGTACAGTAGCAATAACCTGCAATAAAGCAGCATGCACTTAGATCTGTCCAAATCTGGGGCCTTGGAGAGATTCCACACATGCGCGGTGTTTTCTGTTTCTTGTTGCTTTTAGGTGGATGTATAAGAGTTTGTGTGTTTTTAAGGTGAACAATTTGTTTCCACTCGGGTAATCACCAGAGCTCTTACATTACATGAAGGATATTCAATCACGAGTTCTGTTCAGGTTTCTTCCTTCCATCTGTGGGAGGAGAAGGCAGGCATAAAGAAGGGAAGTTGTCTCAGCCTCTAACAGCATATGAAGGTTCTCAGAAACCCTGGTAGTGTGGAGTGTCTGATGGCTGGAAATTTCTGGATAGAGTGTAAAATCCATAGTTGCAGTATAGAGGTTGGCATGCATAGATGGAGACTGATGTAGACTCAGAGTCCACACTGATGAAGGGAGATTACTATTCTTTCTATAATATCTTCCCAGTTTGGGTTTCTGTGAGGCATTTTATGTGCCCTGTTCCCCAGTGAGACGAACTGTAAGTCGTTCCATGTAAAAATGTCCTTTGAAAGCAAAATTACATTTGGAAAGAAGGAATCCACATGTAATAGAATAAGGAGGAAAGATACTGACAGAAAAAGAAAGGTTTATATTTTGTATAAGAACAGCAGATTGTATTTAGGAAATAGGAAATGGAATAAAATTATTTAGGACTGAACTTCCCGAGAGATGCTCTTCTGCAATTGCATGTTATGTGTATACTACTTTGTATGAGTATGAATTCTTATGGTCAGATAGTAATGATGTGATGATGATCCTACCTGAGATTTTACATTTTAAATGTGGAAGATTGTGAATAAGGGTTTTCATATTTATGATGTGGATATTTACTTAACTATACATATCAGAGCAAAACTTAGAAAGGTATGGTAGTCTCTTTTTCTCTCGCTTATGTTATAGCTAAAGATATTTCTGATTAGCAGTATTTTTTTGCCTAGAAGGGTGACTTCCTTTTCAGGCTTTCCTGTGGTTTTCCTCAAGTAAATACCAGCCAACTGAATTCTGGTGATAAATTTGTAATGCCATTTGAGCTTGGGACTCAAAGGGACTAAGTTGCAGTCCTTCAGAGCTGTGCTGCTTTGTGACTGTCTTCATGTCTGTGTTTCATAACCATCTCAAACTTCAGCTTGAGCTGTGTCAGAAAGCAGAGGTCATTATCTGAATCAGAGTGTTCCTAGTTCAAAATAGAAGTACACTGTTTATATCCTAACATGTTTACCATCTGACAGCTTCCTGTGCTCTCCAAGGAATGATTTAAAGAGGTTGGTTTAATTCCTATTGCACAGTTATCTGTATCACAGAAGTTACTGTTGCATTTGAGTACCTTAGCAGAAACAAGAAGGATTGACTGTTGCTTATTTCTCAGCCAGCTCTCTTCTCTCAAGGACCTGAATCCCACGTTTGGTAAAGCTGATTTAAAGTTTCCATTGTTTTCAGAGGATATCGTGTCAAATTCCAGGATAACTCTTACAACCAAGAACTGAGGCAGTGTTATTTTTTAGTTATTTAGTTTACTTCACAAGCCTTACTGTAAGTGCCTTTCTCTACTTTATGCTTTCAATTCACTTACCTCCTGTTAGATTTGGTCTCTTAGGTACATCACCTGAATGTAAATGGTAATTGGCTTTGCAGTTAGGCTTTGTTTGCTTCTATGCATGAATTCTCTCCAGAAATGGTGTTCAGCACTGATCCTTTCTTTCTTTATCACTGGAAAATATCACTCCAAGAAGAGAGTGAAGAGACATAAAAGACCCACTTGCTGTTCTATCAAAAGCACAGGTAGATTTAATTTACACCAGAAACTCTAACTGGAAAGTGAGCCTATTTCTGAGAGCCCTCTGCTTCCTTTGTTTCCTTTCTAGCTTCACTTCAGATTTTTGTTTCACTTTTTAAGCTCCGCATAAATTTTCACCATGGGTTTCCTTCCCTGTTATTGCCAGCCAGCCCACTGATCAGGCACCAGGATTTCAGTCTTGCTAAGTTTGTGTATTGTGTTGCAATCAGAAGTCAAATGTGTGATAATGAGTGTAATATGCTTCTGAGTGTTGCGATGTTTAGTGGGTAGACATACATTATGAAGACTTTTCTTGTCTGCAGTTTGTGATGAAGATGAATGATTCTTTGGGGCAAGGTTATATTCATGTTGTAAAACTCACTCTAACAGTGAAAAATAAAAGAAAAAAAATCCAGCAGTGATAAATAACGACCATCTGGAACCTAAACGATATAATTGTATTATGATTTGTCATCCACATAAGATAAGCTTTTGAGAATGTTTAAGTTGAAGGCGTAGACACAGAGATACCAAATGTGTTAACTGCTTCAAGTACTAAAGTTAAATGAATTTGAACAGTATGTTCCATGTGAGGTGGAAAGACTCCAAGAACCAAGAAAATGGAATTCCTTGCAGCACAGCTGTATGAGAGTAGGTAGGCATTGGGAGAAGCTGTATAGTAGGTTTTACATTGCTTTAAAAAAATAGGGCTCACTTTAATTATTTAACAGATGAAAATTAATTTACATCAAAAGAAGCCTTCAAATACCTTTTGTGGTTTAACTCTAGTTGATGTATCTCCAAGATTAGCAATGGGTGCAGATGAACTGTGTATGGGTTTGTCTAGCTTTAAGAAATATGTACTGCTGGAAATGAATCTCTTCTATGACTTGAAGAAAAGAAACAGAGATTGCTGAAAAAAGACATGGGAAGAAAACAAGAGAATAAAGACAGCTAAGAAATGGGAAAGCAGTGAAAAAAACAAAATGCCTTGTGAAATAACTACTCTGAATCAACATCACATAAATTTCTGCTTCTGCCAGCTGCCCACTCACTTTCTCTTTTAATAGAAGGAGTCATCATGGTTCTGAAGCAAGTAGTGTAGGGAGCCATGCATCTTCTAAGGAAGTGAGTTTCCTGTCTTAGTGGAATTTAGCTTGCAAGACTGACTTAGTAATGGATTTCATCTCTTTAGAGTGTATATAAAGTATCAAAATGGTAGAAGCAGTGTTTTATTTTTCCAAGGACACTCCTCCAATACAGAAGTGAAGCTTCAGAAACAGCTTTATTATTTCCTTTTTTGAATGCAACGGTAAAAAAATTTAGTTCTTTAAAAACCCTTTTACCGACATTCATTTAGTCTCACAATGCTTCTGTGAGGGTGGCATTAATATAACATATGTTTTGTAGATATGAATCTGGAACACCAGATAAGACAGTGGGTGATTTTTCCCACGCCTGTCAGCAAGGCCTTGGAGTACAGACATGGTTAGAACCTGGACAAACCTGGCACTGAGTCTTGTGCTCATTGCTCGTAGCCAAGCTGTCTCTCAACTGAGGTATGTCTAGGGACAGGCACACGGGAGTCTTGCCAGACTTGCAGAGCTGATTTGATTTCTGAAAAACTACTTAGGTGACCAAAATCAAAGACATGTTTTACTGACATCTGTTATTTCTCTTCCTTTCTTTTTAGCTGGTCTTGCCAGAGTACTCTATCCACAGTCTTTTCTGCATAATGTTTTTATGCGCTCAGGAGTGGCTCACGCTGGGGTTAAATGTTCCTTTGCTTTTTTATCACTTGTGGAGGTAAGCCCTTCTTTTATATGCTGACTGCTTGTTAGCCTTGCTTGCCAATTCAGCACACATGCAGATTGTATGAACGATGAAGGACAGTGATAGGAGTATGGATGAATATCTTTTACCCAGAGGCTTATGCCTATAAGCAGCTGAAACTTACATTTCCAGCAAAAAAGGAAATTTTTTCATGAAAATTTAGTAGATATATATATATATGTATCTTTATATGTCTCCCCTATCTCTCTTTTTATATATGTATTTATATTATATTTATATATTATCTCCTCTATATCTCTCTCTCTCTCCCATATAAATGTTGCTTTCAGTTACTAACTTAGGTAAATATTCCAAAGAGTGTCAGGATGCACACACTGCAAACTGAATGAAAACATGGAATTTAAATAGGCTGGAATCTGAATGTGGAACTCGGTGAAGCTCTAAATACTTCACAGATGGGGAGTTGTAAGACAGTTGGTATTTGAAAGAGCTTGGACCTATTCATTCAGCCCTAACAAGGAAACCTTTCCATTGGAGTTGTGAAATAAAGACTGGGCAGATTGACAGATTTTTACATCTCGTCTTCTTTGGCAGCTTTATGATTTTTTTCAGTATAAAATAAGTTGTTTATTTCTGTACAATAGGGAATTGATGTTCTGCAAGAGAATTCTTTCTTAGAGACTCTTGGAGTGGGGATTGCAGTAGGTGAAGAACTATTGTCTTCACACTGCACATGTGAAGAAGTGGGGAGTATTTCCAGTCTGGATCTCTGATATGTGTTTTTATTCACCAAGGGGCTTTCAAATTGATCATGTAAGACCTGCTGCTGTTTTCCAGTTGGGCAGTACAGCTGCTGCTGCATCTTCCTCTGCATTCTAGTGGAGGATCGGCCTTCTGTTGCCTCTGAAAATGACCAAGAGACATCAGTTTTTGCATTTGTCAGTCTGGAGTCTTCCCTAGTTCTGAATTTTCACAATGTTTGTAAAAGCACAGATGATTTTTGTCTGTCAGGGTCTCTTTGTGTTACAGAGGTACATATGGTAGCAGAAGAATAATTCTGTAAAGAAGTCAAAACCGTCATCTCAAACAGAAACTAAAAAGTAGTAGCTTTTTTACGCTTTTTTTTCCTGCAAAACCTTGGTAGTAATGCAGAGTTGTGATAAATTCAGAAGTTAGAGTGCCAGTATAGTTCTCAGAAAGCTAAATGAAATGAAGCTTCAAGTGCTTTTCTCTCTATTGTTTGGCTGCAATAAGAATAACAATGTTTCATGGTGCTGTTTTACTAAGGGTTAACAACCAAAATGTGACAATAATAGTAATTTTAAAAGTTTCTAGAAACAGATATGTCCAAAAGGAAAATGGTCAGACTCTAAATAATTATATAAATCTTTGGAGAGAATTTTTTATTCTCTATTTTTTCTGTGATTCTCCGTATGCTTTGCTATAAGTACGCCATAATTTCTGCTGCTTTAACCACAGACAGGTTTGGGTTCATTGTGTAAAGTTCTACACAAAACCATGGGAAGACACCGTGTAATATCTTCATCCCAGTGAAGATAATTAAGAAAGGTTTCACCTGTGGTCTCCATAAAAGAATTTGCAATCTTATTAGAGACTGTAAGTGGGTGTGACTAACAGTGTAAGGGAGGAAGGCAAAGTTATTTTTAGAACACCTGCTTTCAAAGTTTGCTGCTGGTCACTTGTTTGGGGGTTTTATATCTATCTATCTGTTTGTCTATCTATAAGCAGTCAGCAGTCCTCAGTGTTTAGCATGTCAAAGCAATAGAAATAACAATATTTTATCTGATTCATGCTGATCTTAAAGCAGTTCATTAATTTTGTTAAGGACTATTTTTTTTGTTTGCTTTTGGTTTTTACTGCAAAGTAACTGAGACAAAGGCTCTTTTGCCAGCAATGTTGTTTTGTCATGATTTTCTCAAACATTCAGTCGTTGCTGAGAATAATTAGAAATTTCTCTTAGGTAAGAAGAAAAATATTTTCCAAATAAAATTATTTGGGTGATAAATTTTTGAGCAGTGCCACATGTAGAAAACCTTAGTCAGCTGGCTCTTACATTACTCCATATTGTTTTCTCTTTCCTTTTCAGATTTGGAGGAACTTAGCTATCATCTGGTTGAGACTGTCACCTTTCATCATATCTGAAAAAAGTTGTGTAGCTGCAGTTAAAGCCCAGTAATCCTTCCTGTATGCTGTGATCACAAGCCACCATATATTATCACTCACAATATGTGAGTTATTAGTAAACCAGAACTAACTATATAGGAAGTGGGAATGTTTCAATCTAAAGAATTAATAGAACACCAAAAGTCCACATTCATTAAGTGCTTGGTTCTATAAGAAAGGAGTACTTAGACTGCCATCCTGATTTTAATAATGTCTGGAAATAGAGAGTTGGAAAAAAAAAAGGGAAATTCCTCCTATATCATGGAAGATGGTAGTCTTCTGAACTGGTGATCAGAAGGGTGAATATCTGCACATATTTAATACAGCATATTATAGAGTCATTCCAGATGTCTTCTCCTGCTCTTTCAGGTATTTTCGTTGCCCAGCAGATAGTTCAGAGCTAGCCTATGATCCACCTGCAGTCATGAATGCAGATACCTTGAGTTACTGCCAAAAAGAGGCCTGGTGTAAGCTGGCTTTCTATCTCCTTTCCTTCTTCTACTATCTCTACTGGTAAGTCTGGTCGTTTCACAAAGAAAATAATAGCTGCTTTTCATTTCACTTGTGAAACTGTATTTAGAAATAACTGGAACCAGTTGGCCAGTTTCCTTAATCTCATAAAACTTGCTTCTGATGTTCATTCAGGGAAGCACAACCACTTACTGCTGACACCTCAGTACAGAATATTAAGTGTTTATCTGAGCCAGGTCCCAGGGCCAACCCAAGGAAATAACTTTTGCTCCTCTGTATAGTGTCTTAGCATGGATGAAATAGGAAATTTTATATTAATGGTATTATGTCAAATAAAATTATAATGTCCTTATGATTCAAGAGAATCATGAGAAAAATACTACACCTGCTGGTGTAGTGATACTCAAGATGGTAAATCAATGGATACATAGATGCTGGCTGGGAACTTGGGATGTACCATGCCTGTAGTCATTCCTACAGGCTCCCTTTCATGACAAGGTTAGCCTGTGCATGGTCCAGAACCCGAACTGAAGTACAGTCATGAAGATATGCACCCTAGTTGTGTGTTGTCCCTCCTGCTCCTTTCAGCTGTCAGATATCAGTGTACAGTCACAAATGCCCAGGGCAAAAATATGTGAGGATCATATTTAAGGTAAGGCCTTGGCATAATCCCTGTGCTTTTAGTCACCCCCGTAATCACACCATAAAAACTACTTGACAACAAACTTTAGGACACTTTAAATGGAGGTGATGTTCTATGATGCCTTTCTTCTATTCCTTCTGAAATGTATTTGCATAGAGTTGCCTCTGCCAGTCTTGCATGTAGTCATCCCTCTGCAAGGCAGGTTTGTGTGCTGGTGGAAGAAAAGTGTTATTTCTCCTGACTAGTGGTCTTTTATCTGCTCCCCATATCTTGTCGTTGCTGCAGGTTGTTGTTTCTCGATATGCCTTTTAAATAGTATTGAGAACAAAGTTTTCACCCATCAGTGTGTATTTGCCTGTGTCTGCATATGAGAGCAAGAAGCTGGCAGGGGCCTAACTCACATGAAGATGGATGTGTCATGACAATCTGAGTAGTACCTTAGCATCCAGTAGCTTTTTGGGTTTAGGCTGAGCACCTTTGCCTGTCCTCTTCATGGGGCTGAGAGTGAAAAGCATGGCAGTTATGCTAGAGGAGCTCTGTTGGTAGTGTAAGGAGAGATGACAAGGAATGGCTGGAGAGAAAAGCATTTTTAACTCCATGTTTTTGGGTTGGGGATCAAAGTCAGCTGTGTAGTGTGGTCTAGCATTTCTGCTGGGACTTCAGTGTTGTGCAGCTTCCTGTGAGTCCTGCTTCCTTCACTCTAAAATGTGGTCATAATCCAAAATCCACTGCCTGGTGCTAAATAAAGTGGTATAAATTACATACAGTTTTACAGTGCTTTCCTGGGTATTGGCAGAACTAGAGTTGCAGTAAAATGGAGCTGTGGCAATATACTGTGTTTTCTTTGCTCTCAGAGTTGTATTTAATATGTATGGACTCACTCCAGCTGGTGCATTTTATGTTTCTTCTACTGCACAGAGTTTGTTTCCAAAAGAATCAAAACAATGCAGTTTCGTAGAAAACCTTGCCTGCCCTGCTGAGAGTTGCTGAAGTTTTAAAGATCAAACGTGCTAAAGCAAAATGGTTTTGTTTCTTCGCTGTTCAAATTGAGGCATCAGACTGAGCTTTAAAAAGCTCAAACACAGCTTGTGGTGCAGTAGAATGTCGATAATGAATTTGTTATTTCTTGAGTGCCTTTTGATACCCATCTTGAATGCACCATAATTAAGATGCTTTAGAAAGATAGAAAGAATGCAAAGGAAGGCACAGGCCATTACAGTCAGACCTGAGGAACAGACAGCAAAGGGTTGTAAAAATCAAAGTACTCTGTATGCTTCAAAAGGATGCTTTCATAGTGTGTCTTTCTTTTACATTCAGCATGATCTACACTCTGGTGAGCTCTTAACTGAAAGATCATCGTTAAAGACTGAAAACAACAAAGACTGGAAGTGCAAGGACAAGTGAACCAAGTGATGCATGATTAAAAAAGCAACGAGGAAAAATTTGAACCCAAGCAGTTAATAAAGTACATGAAAGAGAGACCCAGCAAGAAGAAGCAGATGACCATGGGAGAATGGCTGAGTTAATTGTTTTTGTCTCCTGTTTCTCAGTGTATTGCAGTAAATGACTTTAAAAATCCAAGCAAACAAAAAAATGCAACAAGGGCCAAGTTACACAGCTATTCACCTGTCCAGGGATAATGCTGCTTGCTTGAGTGGATTCATTATAAACTGTAGTCCCTACTGTCTTCCAGGGAGCAAAGTTTCTTTTCTTAAGGACTCTTCTGGACTGAGGAAGCAGAGGACAAGATAATCTTACACAGAAAGAAGACCTATACAACACATTCTGAAAATGAGCACTGAGTGGACTTCAGATAAGATATATGACTGTCCTGAAGGGATATTCACATGATACTAAACAAACAGGGATGTCAAATCTCATAGAACTGTTTCAGTGGTTTTGTTTAGGTTTTTTTTCCACCAAAATGATGATGACAAAAGAATTTGCAGTTGCAATATTCTGTTTTCTGATTATATGCTATTCCTGCAGGTGAACACCCAGTATGTTTCTGTACTTCATTTGTGATACGCCAGTAACATACAGTGATATGTATAAATACATTGGGTTTGACCTAATCATGCCAAGCACTTATCAGAATAGTGTTCCTCTGACTGGAAAAAAAAATCCAAGGTAAAAGTTGCATATATTAAGGAGGGTTGTAACATAGGTATTATATTCATCACAATGCTGGATAACAAATGCTGGACCAGCTAATCATAGCCTGTAATTCTGTTTTGCAGCTTATTTCTGCTGTAAAATTTAAGCCAGAACAAATACACAAAATGTTTTTGTCTTTTATGACATTCATATTGAAAGTTGTTCATGTTTTTATAATTTAAAAGTTTTTAAATTTTATCATACAAGTCTGATTTAAATTCACATATATGGGCTGTATGTCTTTATATATATAAATATATATATACAAATACACATCTACATAAATACAATCTATTTACATTTTAGGTTAATCCATCAAGATCAAAGGCATTGAGTGTCCAGAACTGCTGCTAAATGTATTTCAGCACTGAACCTAGTGAACCTGGGCTCATTCCCTCAAAGTCACTGGTGCTCTGGGTAGTAGGCAAGCCTGTAAGTTCAAGACTAACACCAGTGCATGCACAGACAGTGCTTGGATCTTACATTGGGAATGAGCTAACAGTTGGGTGTGTTGCTAACAGAGATGTGGCAGAGAACAGTGCAGAGAGGCCCATCTGTACCCCAGCTTGTTTACAGCTGATCTCATTAGCACTAGCTCACTGTTGACCCAGCCAAATTTTGTCTGGCTACTGAGAGCCAGTAAACTGTTCCTGTATCCAGACTCTGAGATCTTTTTCATCTGGGTACAGGACTTCAGCAGGAGAGACGGAGTCTCACGTTCAGCACTGCCTCTGTGCTAACATACCCTGTTTCAGAGCATGGTGCAGAAGCCATGGCTGTGTGAGTCATCCCATGTCTGGCAGGTTCCAGACTGAGCTGGAGTTACTGTGTGTATGCAGTGCCAAGACTCTTCCTGCTTTAATCTGGCTACGTTAACAAAATTAAATCCTGTTAGCCTGCAGAGCACAGTACCTGCATGCAAACTGTCTGCTCCTGGGCCACGCCAACTCTGGAATCACACCTGGACGTTGCTTGGAAGAGTGCTAGCTGGTCTGAGCAAACAGTATACCGGATTCATTCTAGCAGTATTTAGATGATGAAGTTGTCCCAAGGGCTGACATTCTTTAGTTCACAAGTACAGACATAGCCAGTAGGTCTTTCTCGATGTAGTTTAGCTTCATACAAGTATGTTCCCAGTTCTGTAAGCATACAACAACGCTGACAAATCAGATTACTTGGAAAGCTAATTTGGGCTCTTATAGTTCATAAGTTTGGATTGCACACACTACAGAGGTGACTAAACTGCTCTTGAAATCACACTGACCCTGCAAGCAACACAGATGTGTTTGCTTGCAGTGAGCTTGAGCTAAGAAACTTCACTGGATCATTACGTAGCTAACTCATAAAGCTCTGCTGCTGTGGTATAATTAATGCACAACTCATAAAAAATTGATGATTGTAACTGAATTTCTTCTCTACAACCTAACTAATGCATCTAGTTCTGCAGAATTATAGGAACTAGATTCACAAGAACAAATTACAGTGAATAACTTCTAGATATCTTGCTACCTCATAAAACTCTCAACTCTGAGTAGGTGACTGAATCCTTCCATGCATCTTCTAGGATGTATAGGAGATGGAAAGAAATTAATTCAGGTTTCCTATATTTCAGATACGTGCTTTAAAGTCAGTTTCATTAAAAGGCTTGGAATTTTTTTGTGTGTTTGGATGGGTGAAAGATTGATCACATCTTGCCTGAAAACACACAGTTTTCAAATCTTGAGATTTAGGCATGAGCTGGACTACTAGCAGGTCAGTTGTTTGCCTACAGGGCTGGATAGAAGCTCTGTGAGTTTTTGTAACTGGCATTGTCCTGTAATTCTTGACTTTGCACAGGAAGCTTTTGCATATGTGCATTTTCTGAATGAACCTTCAGGTGACTTCAAGGACCTAATGCTTGAATGGACTTGCTAGGTCATTTCAAACAGGTTCTCTATTTCAGGCAACTTCATCAATATACTTATCAAACTCCACTTGGAAGCAGAACACTTAGTATGATCCTACTACTACTTTAAGCAAGTGTTTCCAGGATCTCACTGCTCTGGTACTAGAAAGTTTTTCTTTATTTCCAGAGTAAATTTATTCTCAGATAATTTATTCCACTTGCTTTGGAGCCAACATTAGCCTAAATACACTTTCTCTCATGCTGCTTAAGACTTCAATATACAGAGAAAGGAGTCCTTTTCAGCCTCCATTCTGTAAGAGTGAGCTGTCTCAAGTCCTCCTGTAGAAAAGCTCTCCATTCCCCATATCTTCTTTAAAGGATTTCTCTGTTGTCTTTCCAGTCAAATTAATCTTTCTTAAGAGTGGATGATCACAGCTGGTCAGAGTATTCTGGAGAATATCTTACTTCGACTAATCCTCACTATGAATGGACAATGAAAGCTAACGTTCTCAGTTCTTTCTAATAATCCTTATTAAAAAAAGTAATCACACTGCTCTCAACAGCATTTTGTTTCTCTTCAAGATAAATCTTAGTTTAAAGTCGATGGAAAAATTGTTTAATATTAGGATATTTTCCCTTTCATTGTATTTAGTGAAACTTCTCCTGAGCAGAAATAATTTATGAAACTGGCCAAAGCATTAATTGAAGGAAGTTTCAATGCAAGTCAAGACCTTCAAAGGTGTCTGCCAGTATGTAGAAGCTGCTAGTGCTCTGGACCTCACAGACAGCAGGGTAAGATATAGCCCTCAGCATGTTCCTTGCTCTGTGTTGTTACCCAGGGGTTGCAGTATCTTGCTAGGAACTCATATACAGTGAATGTTCTTAAGATCGGATTTGTCATTTTCTCTGTTAGACTTGTCAGCCATGTTATAAGAGAAGAAGCACAAATAGAGGAAAGAAGAATGAAGGATAAAAGAAGCACAAATAGAGGAAGGAAGAATGAAGGATGAAAGACAACTGTTGCTCTCTTAGTCCCTCACCATGTATGTGACTGATTACAAGCTAAGTCTGCTTCAACCAGAGGATGGTTGGGCAGTAGAACAGGCTCCCCAGGGAAGTGGTCACAGCACCAAGCCTGACAGAGCTCAAGAAGCACTTGGACAACACTATCAGGCGCACAGTGTGATTGTTGGGGCTGTCCTGTGCAGGGCCAGGAGCTGGACTTCGATAATCCTTGTGAGTTCCTTCCAACTCAGGATATTCTATGATTCTACTTTAACCAAAGCAAGGGAAGTAAACTGCATAGTTGTTGCTGAAGAACAGAAAAAAATGAAGTGATCTTTGGTCACAAGGAAGTCTCTTCTCCTTGCCACACTTCTTAGGGAGAATAATGCATGCTACCCCTTTTTGTCTCCAGTTCCATCTTTTGGTTGGTGAAGGCTACAGATTTTCTCCCCAAGCCTGCTTCCTTCCTGTCTCTTTTCTTGAATGGGTTAATGTCATTACTTAGGCACAGCAGTCCTCTTCTCTTCTCTTACATGCTCTGGTGATACAGATAGATCCCAGAAAAGGCATAAGAAAACATGTCATCTCCCTTTGCTCCTTCAAGCAAGTGTGCAGTGAGCACATGCTTAAGTAAGTATTTATTTTCCTCATTTGTACCATCTGTGAAGTGAGAAAGGTGAACCTAGCTTGTGAAATCTTTCCATATATGTAGTACTCTTTTTTTTTTCCCCCGTAACTGTGGGATCTGCTTAAAGGAAAAAGGTAGAACATGAAAAAGTGGAAGAGGATAAGACCTGAATGAGCTGCTTACCCAAGGGGTAGCTAACACATTGTGCTGGCCTGTAGCTGCCTGTTCATGGAAGGGATGAAAAGGCAGCCCTGTTGGCAAGGTGTTGCTCTGAGGTTCTGCCTGTCCTATTTTTAGTCAGGTAATTGCAGTGATGCTGAATAAAATTGTTGCTGCTATGACTGTTTCAGTTTCAAATACAGCAAATCAGTGCTGATAGCAGAATGCTTCGCCTACAAATAATTAGCTATACTTAAGCTGTCAGAAATGTTTTTCCATCTGCTTCCTTGAGCCATACTCTTCCTTTTGCACTAAGCCAGTGAAAGTGGAAGAGAAAGTTCTGTAACCTACACCTTCTTACAGAAACTGTTCTGGGGTTGTTATGATCTGGCACTGCTGCTGGGTCATGATTACTCATACATCATTAATAGGGGTATTAGCAATCTGTTGCTTTTCCTTTCTCCATTCCATCTCCACACAGATATTTTTGCTAAAAAAAACAAATGTACAGGGCATGATCCAAAATCCTTGAATGTACTGAGCATTTTCTTTTGTTTCTGATACACTTCATCTATAATGTCCATTACTCTAGAGCTACATGGGAAACAAGGTCACACTGGAAACTCTCTAGAGTTTTGCTAGTAGAAATCCCATCCTTTAAATCTGGTTATCACATCCATTTAACTGAATTATGTTAATGGAAGAGGAACCTCCATTTTTGAGGGATAAGGGTAACATTTCAATGCTCATGCCAAACTGTCACAGGAAGTTATATCAACTTGGTAAAAATCTGGCTTCATGGAAGTTTATGGAAATCATACCTCTTCTTTTAATGTGAGCCCCACTTACCATTGTGCAACTTCTACCCAGAGGTCAGTTGAAATTAAAAAAAGGAAAAACCCCAACCACAATAAGTTTAGTTAATCAAAAATGTTATTGGATGTTAGATAAAGCTTGGGATGCTACAAATAGAACAGGAGATGAAAAAGTCAAAGCGAGAGGTGGTTTTTTTATTATTTGGGAAGCAACAAATATTAGAGTGCCATCCTTGCTGCACTGAATTTTACATTGCTGATCTCAGTCCATATTCCTGCTCTGGTGAATTTTTTGATCATTTATTGCTCATGAACACATTGCTCTGATTTATTTTTGTTCTACTCAGTAATGCAGTTGTAAGTGGGAAGGAGGGAAAATTCTCCTCTGAAATACAATATTCCCCTTCTTTTCTCCCAGATAACCTGTGAACATGCTGTAACAAAATTCTGATGATGTGTTTCAAAGGTACACCTCAACTGAAGAATGAAACTGTTTGCTGCAGATGATATTATGATGCAATTTAACAAACCACAGTTTTAGAAATATTTTTAGGTGCTTACACACTTAAAGTAGTTATTTTATTGCCTCTAATTGGTGGCCAACTTCTCATGTAAGAGAAAATATACTTCTGTGGCCTGATTCTGTGACTTTCTTTGTAGTCAAACTCTCAGTAAAACTGAGGAACACAAAGTGCATTTTAATTATTTTTTTCCTAAGAATGGCATCCTATATTTGGGTAATATGTTATGGAAGTGAAAGGAAGCATTAAAAAGCTAAAATATCTTACTTAGTCTAAATTTTGATGAGATGTTCCTCCTTTTCTTCCATGAATTTTTCCTAATATCAGTGGTCTCTTGACAGATCTGAAGAAATCTGCCTGTCCCACTGTTCTGACAGTTTCAGTCTTTTTAAACAGATTTACCACCACTGAAACACTGACTGGACAGCGTAGCTCCTACAGGCCACCCCAAGATTTATGCAAATGTCTTAAGTAACACAGAAGTAATCCAGTCTTATGGAATAGCTCGCACCTGTGCATAGTAATATAAAGTAACAATCAAATAATATAAGTAATACATAGCACAAGTCAAATAGTACAAGCAAAGCAGGATTTCTTTCTGTATTTCTGTGTTCTCTATGTAATACATTTTTTTTTTTGGTAATACAGTATTTTGCTTGTTGTAAAAAGCAATATAATATACAAGACCAAAGATAATCAGGCTACTGCAGGTAACAGGAATGCAGAGTTTGAGGATAGTTATTTCTAAACATTTCAAATAATTACTGTTTCTGACAGTTATTGACAGTTTGCAGTTACTGGAGGTGCAAATTCTGGTGTTAATGGTAGCATTAGCAATACATACATTTGCTTCTTTTGGAATAAGAATCCATATTCCTTTCTAAAACATATTTAACATATTTACAGACCTTACATGACTCTCAGTATATAGAAACTTTAATTGTATTACAAAAAATCCAAATAAAATGCAAATACGAAATACAGCAAAAATGGCAGGTTATTTAGCAAATTTCTAGACAACCTTCTTATTCAAAGAAAATTTCTTGGTTTGATGTCATTTATTGTGGGTCTCTGGACTGTCAAAGTCCACCTGAATGCTGCCGTTGCCAACACCAATAGTTCAGCAAGAATATGAGGAGATGCACACTCGGTTATATCTTCCCAGGTGCCCAGAAACATCTCACATGTAGCCACCTTTCCTGCAGAGCAGATGACATCCACTTTGTCACTTTGAATCCCTTGACCTTTTAGAAGGGAAGAACATCACAGTGCAAAACTGTTCTCAGCCATTTGCAGCCAGTGATGTTGACCTACCTTGCCCTTACAGGCACGTACTGGTCTCCAGGTTGAAAAATACCATCAAGCAAGAGTAGTTTTCACTGACCTGTTCTTGAGCTTCATCTTCCACTATTTTGGAGTGGTTTTTTCAGTTTGGTTTGGTTTTTTATTTTGTCTGAAAGGAAGAGTTGTTTTCTATGCATAATGACCAGCATTGCTACATTGGTTTTGGAAGCATTGGTCAAGCTCCCTTTTGTTTAGTGCATTTTAGTACATATCAAAGCATACTAAATCCATGTCTTTGAAATGTGTTTCTCCACAGGTCTAATTTTCAGTATTCCTGATCTTCCAGTGCTCAGTAGTTGCCCAGTCATAAAGAGCTATATAAATGAATTATAAAGTTGTATAAAATAACTCAGGGAGGAGGACTCTTATGTATCCTTTCTTATAACATAAAAACAATGAGAACACTGAAAGAAAATGTGAGGCACAGATGCAAAATATGAAAAGAAAGATAAAGATTTTAATCAATGAACACATTGCCACAACTGATACAAGTATCAGGACACCCAATATTCAGTATTGTTCCATTTGAACCTATTCCCTTATGCAGATAACAAACACTTCCATAGCTACATTTTAAAGAATAAAACTACAGAAGATTTAGAAACCTACAGCTTTCAGGAGCCATCCAATTGCCAGTGGTTTGAGTTCAGCAGATTATTTACCCTATCACCTGCTTATCTGGTACAAAGTATTTTCCACTTTGTTCTGAAACATCTAGAGATGGCAGCTGAAACCACATAGACCATTGCTGTGTTCACTCAAGGTCTCAGATTCTGTTCTTGAATGACCATAGAACATCTACAGAATTGGAAACTGTGTTTCAGATTATTAACTTCTCTACACTGATAAAAATTTCAAAATCTCCTAAATGACATTGGAGTGTAAGTGTAATTTTCACAAATACTTATTTACTTAGAATTCTAAAAACCTCATGAAAGACTTGCCGATATAGCAAGAGTTCAGTACTCAGGAGAGAGCAGTAAGAATTTGGCCCATGGTAGCTATTCCTCACCAGGTCCTTGTGTTTGCTCTCAATACACTACAACCTTGTAAAGCAAAGTCTGCAGTTTCACAGGTAGTTTGCACTGGAAGTGCCCACAGAGGAAGTTGATGCAGTATAGCTAATGTATTCTTTGGTCCTTTGTTGCTCTTTTAGATTCACTTTCCCAACAGATGAACCCTTAGACTTCTGAATTCTTTAGACACTTTAGAGTGTTATTTGGGTACAGTCTGCTCACTTCTGTTAACTGCAGGGTACATGCTCTAACCAACTAACCAAAACGGATATAAAAATAAGGCAAAACCAGATAATCCTTTTTTAAGAAATTAAGTTCTCATCATTGAATTATCAGAACTGAGAAATGAGAGTTCAGATCTTGCCTATTACACACCCTTCCTTTGTCACTTTGGGCAGGCACTTAATCTCTCAGCTCACAGTCTCCTAACTGGAGGTGATGGCCCTTTCTTCTCCCTCATTTTGTCTGTCTTGTCAGTTTAGATTATGAGCTCTTGTGAGATGGAGCCATTTCTTTCTCTGAGTAATGCTTGGCACTGTGTAGCTGAAATTGGGAATTACATGTCTAGATGGTATTATAATCCTAAATAATTAATACTTTTTATCATGGGAGGAAACAACAGAATTCAATGGAATTAGTCAAAATGTATTTTTTCCTGTCACCAAGATTGGTACCTGACCTGGTCTGTTGCTGTGCCTTAGGGCCTACTGACAAACTGAAGTGTGCTTTAGCTCTGAATGCATGTAATGCTGTAATTTGATGCTGCCAAAAAGCACTAAAATGTAAAGAATAAAATGATCCAAACAGTTCCCCATTTCAGTATTTTGCACCCTCCTAATTCCTATTTGCTTTACCCTTTTATCCTGTTCTTTTATGATACAGTGGCATCCTGGCACCTTTTGGTGTTGCACTGAAAACAAATCCAGTGCAAGCTCAGACTAAAACAATGACACTGATTTTAATCCAAATTATTCATCTGTGTGTACATTTATTGGAGAATAAAATTAACCTGTTTTGGTTTTAACCAGGTACAAATGGAAATCAGCTGTTTTGACAGAAATCCTTTTCATCCTGGTATATGAATAAAGCCACATTTGTACAGGAGTTTGGTGTTTAAATGTGCATTAGCACAAATTTGTTATTAGGCCAGATCAACAGCACAGAAGTTGCCTCAATTTGGCAAAGGATGATATATTTTTATAGATATAACCTAGCTGCAGAACAGCAGAGCCGTGTTCACAGGCAGGAGCGTGTCCCAGTTGCAGCCACTGGTGTCACCTTTCATGGTGTGGAGTCATGCAGGTCACTGGGGGGCGTTTGACAACGGCCTTGAATTTGCACTGCAGCCTCTGAGGAGTGTTCACAGGTCAACCCCACTGTGGGACTGGTGTTTGTAATCACCAGGGAAGCAGAACCACCTGGGAAGTCAGTATATTAAACAGTGCCGAACTTCTATAAAGCAGACACATGTTTTAACCCTTGTTTCTTCCACCACAGTTTATATCACCCTTGAATTTGGCCACCTGATATTTTGGTTCTAGATCCTCAAGTTCAACCCTAAAGCAGACTTTTTTCTTATACTTATGTATATATTGTCTAAGAGATTGCATAAGATGAACTCTAAAGGGATCTAAAGTTTTTTTATATCCCTTTTGTCATCCATTTATAGGCCTTTAAATACTTTGTTATTTAACTACATGCTGATTGAAATACATACACAAGCCATCTAGAAGCTAAATAAATTCTTGCCTGTTAATATAATAAACAAAGGGAAGTGTTCTTCTGTTATCTTTGTGTATCTGCCACTTACAGCAGGTCCAAACAGTAATATTACTTATGGGGTTATACTGAGCAAGAAAAGAAAGCTGTATTTCTGGACCACATAGGCTTTTCTAAGATGTTATTTTAAAATACATTTTTGACAAGCGCTGCTGGCAGGTTCAGAGGAGCTGCTGTGGGGTCATTGTAAGCCACACCACCTCAGGTCATTTGAGAGCCTTTTTTCAAGGGATATTGAAGACACTCCCTGAATGTGTTCATTCTTTGGCTCTTTGGCCTCAAAAACCTAAATGCAGTTAGCAAGGTCTGCAGGAGAAAGCCAAAGCTGATCAGTCCTACCTGTCATCCAGAGAACTACCATATTTCCAGCAGCAGCCAGTGCTTTGGCTTTGAATATCTGTGAAGGAATCTGTTATATTTTCTAGCATGGTTTTGCCTTATGAGAGCAGACAACGTCCCTTTAAGTTAATTATTAAATAAGATTGTTAGGTTGTATTGGAAAATGTGACTCATTGCCTTTAAGTAGTAGTATTTATCCTCCAAAAGCTTCCTGAAGTGGTAGTGGCAGCAACAGAATTTTAATGTAACTTCTCTCATTCATCATTTGAAGTGTACAACAACAAGCGATGAATCTTTGATGAACGTTGTCAAGCTTTCTTCGGATTGTAATAGCAGTTTTATAAGCTTCAAAAAAGTTCAGAGGCAATTTGCTGTGACTGTATCTACTTTTTTTTCTCTATGAGCACTCAGCCCAGTGCTGAGCACTGATACATTACCGGATTAGAAAGTCCTGTTCCTGTGTTTCTGATGTAAATGAAAAACTATGTACCAGATATTACAAGTATATTTTTTAGAGAAATCCCAATAAAAACTGCCAGACTACAGAGATCCTTTTAAAAATTTTTGTGTATATCTATAGATATAGATATGGATGATATAGATATAGATCTTGTTGCTGTAAGTATAATGAATCCATTGACAGTGTCTAGAGACAGTCTCTTATGCTGGAGCACTGGGAGTAATTATGAATTGATGATGCTTTTTTCATTCGATTATAGAGCTCTGTTTTCTCTCTGCAGCATGTTCTGACATCCATGAAACACAGTTTTATCTCCAGCACATATCTTGTTCCCAGAACATGGTACAGATTTTATCAGAGATAAATAGTGTGTTCTCAAATGAGGACATTACTTTTGTCATTTCTTATTTTGTCATTTTGTTTTTGTGCCTCGTTCTGCTAGAGGCTAGAGTCAGAACTACTGAGAACTCAAAGACCTGGAAATTTGTTTACTGTTAACACAACCTTTGCAGTCACCAGTATTGTTGGCTACAAAAATAACTTGTCCTTTTAAAAGTTTGCCCAGTAACTTTATGACTTGCAGAAATCCTGGATATAGTTTTTCACCTGGATTGGGGCATATCTACATGGCTGCCTTGTTTCAAGTCTCTCATGAAGACAAAGCAACTGATCTACAAAAGATTTCTGGCACTCTACAAAGCCAAAACAGAGCAGAGCTGCTTTGCCATGACCTTGCCAATGCCTGGGGGCGATGGGCTCTTGGGAGGACTCCATCCTGCCTCACTGATTCTGACTGCTGGAGCAGTTCCCAAGGGGAGCTGCAAGTATCTGGACCAGGCTGAGATCAGCTTTCGTATTATGTTAAGTGATGGGCTACTCTGCCAGTTCTAGCTTTGTTTCTCCAGTGTTTCTGTTCAGCAATATATCAAAGTGATAGAGTAACACTGGGGAGGTGCAGCAAAAATATACAAGTTGTTTAATCCTCTCAGGACAGACAGATGTTTATCAGTTCTACCCAACTATGCATATTTCGGTTTCAGTCACTGATGAATTAACAGGCTGTATGTGCAGAGCTGAATTTGTCAGGAAAACTGCTTCATCAGTAGTGGGTCAAAGAGGAGACCAAATGATATTCAAAGTGATATGTACTCTTTTAAAGCCTGCCTTTTGATTCTATAGTTTCTCCAGAATGTTCAGGAAACTCTCATAGTGTCAGTCTTTGTGATTCATTTGTCTGTGACTAGTGATCCCTCTTCACTTGAAGATTCCACTTACTGATTGGATTCCTGATCGATCTTACTTCCTTGATCAGTCATGGTGGCTGAACTTCTGGCTCTTTCTCCTTGTTGCTTCCTGGAAAGCTTCCTGTCTTCTCAATTTCTGCCAGGTGATGTCTGGAGCTACAACTTTTCACAAAAAATTGAAAGTTTGAGTATTTACATGAGATGTCCATGCATGGCTCAGACAGCAGAGTGTGGATGAGGTGGGTTATGTTCCGAGTCTTCACTGCAGGCAAAGTAGACTGATCTCATCCTGTGATAGATGCCAATCTTTGCTAATCCTAAACCCTGTGAAGTGCCTGGGATGCTTGTATCATGGATGTTCACACGTAATTGTTCATTCCGACTGCCTGGACCAGTAACCTGCTTCCTACAGTGGCCAGAGTCTTAGAGGAACATCCAATAGTGCATTAACAGTTGTGGTACGATCTGTCCTTCTATTTATATCTATCTTAAATTTATAGCTAGAACAGGTACAGGCTTCCACAGCCTGGAGTGAACATCCTTGAAACATTAATTAAAACTACATTTTTAATATTTGCAAATATTCAAACCCTTTTATTCTAACTAGATTTTTTTGGTTTATGTTGCTATGGGCTCTAGAATTTTATTAGATGTTGTTTGGGGACAAAAAATTATTTTGCTGCTTTGGAATATAATCCTAGTTTTATTGAAAGTCCTGATTCCCTTTGTTTATGAGATTGGCAAGACAGAAGTTCCCGATGTACCATCTCTACAGTATTCGTTATCAAATTCTTTGATGAACCAGATAATCTTTTTTTTACTCAGCAATACCAGAATTCTAAGAGTTTCCTCACCTATTTTTCTAGCCTCATCTCAGACTTTCTCCCTTTCTGTGATAACATAATTTAATGTTTTTTTAGTTCAGGTGATTTGAACAACATTTTTGTATTCTCTGTGTTATTCATCATTCTGCTTCACATGCAACTGTGAATTTATTTTTTTTTTAATGTTTAAATTACAGCTGTCATGACAGAAGTATTCTCTGAGCTCTCCAACTGTGATGCCAGTTGGGCACGTAGCCATTTGGGCAGATTGAACTGAGATGTCCAGTTGGACCAATTCCTCATTTGGATTTGGAATCCAAAACAGCTGCTTTTGAAACTGAAATAAAGCTGTGTGTTAGCCCTTGCGACATACAATCTGTTGACCAAGCAGGGCCATGGGGCACCATCTTTGCTCTGCAGCTGAAGCATTATTTCTGACAAGCCACCTGAAAGACATACACCCTCCAACAGAAGTGTCACTCATCCCAATTTCTCAAACCAAGAGGTGCGGCTTTGTAAGATGGAGAGGAGAGAAGGAACACAAAAGTGGATGAAGAAAATTACCTTTAGAGGGAAGCAGGACAGTACGAAAAACGTATAAGTTCTGAATCCATCTCATACTCATAGCAGAGAAACTGGAGTATTTAGTGGCCCATCAGTTTACCCAAGCAGAGATCTCTACCCATGACTGGAGTTGCTTTTCCAGTAATTTTTAGCAGTAATTCTCCAAGCCACTTATCAAGATGCTTAGCACCATTTCTCTTCTTGAAAATACTGCTCCTACCTGTCTGCTGACAAGGTGGGTTTGTATGTGTGTTTCCTAATCCACATCAGTGGAGAAAATTAGCTTACATTTGAACTCATATTGTCTGGGGACCTGCACACATCTGCTACCTCTGCTACTTCTGGCTTGATGCAGGCTGGGCAACCACAAACAGAAACATCTGAATCCATGGCAGTTAAGTTCCTGGAGCAGATTCAGCTGCTGGAACTCCCACTGGAGTCATTAAACACCCTACATGGAAAATAATTGGTTGTTTTTCTGGTGTTCAAGGTGTCTCAGGGAATGAGAAAAGGCATTCAGATAAAACCGAAACTGCCCTGGCCTTAAAATCTGGACTGAATCTTTTTGGAGTCAGAGAATTTGGATCATCTTATCA